AAAACTTGAAAGTGTTTTTTTTTTTTTTTAAAGCACACAAACGCCCCAAAAATAACCCTTCAATTAAGAAAATAAAAATCCAGAAGCTAACTGCTTTGCCAAAAAGTTGACACATAGAAGCTAGTGTGGGCGCCATGAGCCAGGCCGGTCCATCATCCTTCCACCATGTACACAACTTCTGAAACTATGCACTTCGGGTCTCCTAAAAATGAAAAGAAGGAAAGAAAATGGGAATCAGAAAGAATAATTAACTAGAAAAAAGAAAAACAGAAAATGAAATTGCTTCCATGGTGTGGGAAAGAAAAAGGAGCAACAACAATTACCTCAAATTACATAAATCAGTAAATAGAATGTTATATCAATTGAAATATAAATACCTTAAAAATTGAAAATTAAAAAAAAAAAAGTAAAATTCAGCCATAATGCATCTTGTATTATAAAACGGCAATTTTTTTAAAAGAAAGGAAAAGAATGCAAAAAGATCAACTTCTACATTTACTAGTAATTTGTTTGGTTTAATATTATAATTTGAATGTGTATGGTTTAATATTATTATTTGAATGTGTATGGCTAATTAATGGGTTTTCGCTCCATTGCTTGCCAACAAATAAAATCAAATAGGGTAAGGACATTGAGCAAAGCAAAATTAGACAGTACCTTCCTTTTTTGCAAGTTACTCAAAGTCTGAGTTCGACTCCCCAGTCTGACACTATGGAGTGAGGAATGCGGTTGATAAAGGGCTGGTAGTCTTCTTTGCAGCGTTTTGAAATAATTGAACAATTGAGAATTTTCAATTCCTGCAAGGTAGTACTCTGGAGAATATAATTTGGCAACATCTTTAACTTCGAACAAGATGCAATTGTCAAGGAAGAAAGACGTGGTATGATTGTGATATCCTCTTGTCCTCTACTTCCAAAATCCCACTCTTCCCACTTATACATCCCATTAAACGCCAATGTCTTCAAATTGGGGAAGGCAAAAACGGATGATGAAGATGGAGACAAAGACGTTTCTATCCCCAAAAATTCAACTCCCACCTTTTTTACTTTCCACATTAAACCCATCCTGAGTGATTCTAGAGAAGGCAATTTCCCCAAAGGAGGAAAATGTTTCACGTGGCAGTCGTCGATCACTATATTCTTTAGGTTGCTTAATTGGGTTATCCAACTTGGGCTAGGCCACACAATTGGATTTGTGTGGCCCACTATTTCTAATAAAAATAACAAAAAGATAATCAGAAATAAATATTAAAAAATAGAAATATAACTATATAAGATTG